CCTGAGACATTTTGTTCCAGTCAAGAAAGGTCTGGAGTGCACTCAAACACAATGCAGAAATATTTAGCTTTCCTAACCTGGTCAAAAGTAGTCCGCTGTACTTTTCTTGTAATCCTACTGATAAATTCACTTTGAATTCAGGTTGATAAGTATGTCACCTTTATGGTATCAGCCCTAATAGCTTCCACATGATCTCACAACATAGTATCATACCTCGCAAGCAATTCAAGTAACCCCGCCCCCCACAAAAAAAATCACCATTATAAGGACTGTCTAGTTTCTTGTTTGAACCTCTCACTTAACTATAGCAAAATATCCAGGAGATGATACAAAATATTGTACCACAGTATCTGACAGCAGATTTGCATACCTTTGTCAATTGTAGAATCCTTTCCAGATGTTCTTCAAGCTCCATCCAGTAAACAATTGCCTCCCCCATGTTCCTTCAAATGTTTGTGTTGCCATTCTTACTCGCTAAACTAGAAAAAGTTTGTGAACCCGGTGTTATGACTTGCAAAGGAAGAGGAGGAATTTGGCTGGAAAAGCAAATAAGCAAAACAGAACCAAGAGGCAAACTGTTGATCCACATGGGTAGATCAACTCGTGCTAGCTCATCTTGAGCTAGTGCGCTAAAAATATCAATGTGGACATTGTGGCACTGGACTATCTGCCCAAGTCCAGTACCGCCCAGCCCCCTTGGTCTGAGCTCAGGTGGCTAACCCAAGCCATCACTAGTGCTGCAATGTCCAGTGTTAGTTTCAGTCTGCTAGCTTGAGCCGAGCTAGTGTGAGTCTGCCTAGCTGTGCTTTGAATCACACCTTCCAACTGCAGTGTAGACAGACATATCTTAAAGGAGGCCTGACAATACCATTTGGAGCACTAAACAGGGCCGTGAACAAACCAACATTGCTGGCATAACTCCCCATTAGGGAATTAAATTTACATTAGGGAGTAAATTTACATTGCAATTTACATTACATTAAATTTACATTACATTAGGGAGTAAATTTACATTGCTGGCATAACTCCCCATGAGGGAGTAAATTTACATTTACTTCAGTGTAAATTGTTATGATAGGAGAATCTGCCCCCCCGTGTATGTTTGCCCCTCCCCCCCGAGAATGTAGGCACTGTGTGTGAATATTTGTATTAAGCTGTATACTCTGTTGTAATTGACTCACTGTATATTATTTTACTAAAATACATTCTTTGTGTTTTTTAAACTTAGTATGTTATCTGTGTTAAATATTTGCACAGTGCATACATGATCACACAGAGTATACATGAATACTCATACAGTGTGTGGAGTAACACACAGAGAGTGCAAAATTACACATTATATGTATGTATAGGTTAGCTCGGAGAATGTGTTGGTTTAAAGCAAAATGAGAATGTAGCATAAAATAACAAACACAAATATTCACACAGTCCTTACTAATAAACAAATTAACCACAGAAAGGGTTGATTCTTCTCCTGGGTTACACCACCACCACTTGCTTTCCACTGTTTGTGTGTAAATCTATGCCCTGGGTGGGTGACTTTATACGCTCTGTGTGAATATTAATATATACCCTGTGTTGTGATAATTTATGCACTGTGTGTGAATATTTACATTAATTTGGAGCTTCTATGTGTCTGTGCGGATATACATTCTGTCTATTGTGAATTCTGTGCATGGCTGTTTCAAGCAGAAAGGAAGGATGATGCAATGATTGGGGCACCAGTTTGGGATTCTTGGGTTCAATTCCCTGCTGTGCCACAGACTTCCTGTGTGACCTTGGGCAAGTCACTTAGTCTCCCTGTACCCCACTTCCCCATCTGTAAAGCAGGGATAATAGTACTTACCTACCTCACAGAGGTGTTGTAAGGATAAATACATTAACAAGACTGTGAGGTGCTCAAACACTATGGTAATAGGTGCAAATAAGTATTTAAGCCAACTAAACACATCTGAGCCCCCTGCATATCCCCTCAATTGGGTTGCCCTGTATAATTATTTGTCCCACTCCTGCTTATAACTGAAATTGGATACTATTGTTTCATTTATTTTATAAAAGTACATACAACTTCTGTTAATGAGGATAGGTTGACTGGGGGTACAAAGAAAACCGACTGAGATGGAGGGATTGGTTAGCTGTAAGGAATGAGAGGACATGAAAATAAAGAAGCAGTCACCTGCTGAAAGGACCCCATAGAAGATCCAAGTTGGGGACAGAAGAAGTGATAAGGAGGAGAAGAGGGCCCTGGAGGAAGACCTAGTCAGAGGCAATATGAAGTTGCCCAAAGGGTGATGATGGTCCTGCTCAGTGCAAGGGCCTGGACTTGATGACCTTTCAAGGTCCTTTTCAGCCCTACATTTCTATGATGAAGCCCTTAATTGAAAGCAGCATGAAGTGGCTAGGAGGGCAGGGGCTTAGATGAACCCACAGAAAGGAACAGCATAAGTGGACAGGAGGATGAGCTCAATTGGGGCAGCTGGTGAGGCAATTGGTAGCCAGCAGGGGAAGCATAGTTGGCCCCCTCTCCTGCTCACCAACTCAAATGTAAAATATCTTCCTTCCCCACCACCACTTGCTGCCATGTGTCTCATTCAGCTGTCAGGAGATTTCCTCAGTGCCATGCCAGATAGTTTTAATCTGCACAGGGCCAGAGCCTAGGAGGTAAGCAATCTTCAGCTCCATAATTTAAGGCACAGCCCAAGCTCAGTTTACCCATTCACTCCTTACATGATGCCTGCAAGAGGAGTGAATAAGCCACCACAGAACTCTAGCACCCTGTCTGCCTGTGGGTGCCTCCTGCAGCCACAGGTTCTGCAGCCTCTCAGAACTGTCCCAGACTTCCCATGTTGATGTATGTGTTGATATGGACACACTATTGTTTTTCCACACTCCTTTGTGTCTGATATGTCTAGGTACTTATATGTTCCCCATTGTTGTAGCATCTGAGTGGCTCAGACTTATTAAAGAATGTATCTTCACAACACCTAAGAGACAGGGAAGTATTACCATCCCCATTTTACAATGGAGAACTGAGGTATGGGGAGATTAAGTACTTTGCCCAAGATTACACAGGGAGTCTGTGACAAAAGCAGGCGTTGTACTCAGAGCTCCTATTCCTGAAACACAAGGTCTCTCTCACTGCAGGTTTATCATTTGTTTCCATGTGCTATATACTCAGTGCTGTGATCCTTTGTTATACACTTTGTGTTGAAGTAGAGCACTACTCTCTCTGTGTTATGCATTAATTGCTGTGCACACAGTGTGTATGTTGTGGTTAGCTTGCCTTTGCAATGTTGCCAGTTCTGATGATTTGATTGTCTCACATTGTTTTTTCTTCTACAAATTCCTGCTGTTGAAATGAAGAGACTGCATGATTATTATTTATTATTTGTATTATTGTAGCACCTACAAGCCACAGTCATGGACCACGACCCCAGTGTGCTGGGTGCTGTACAACTATAGAACAAAAAGACAGAGAATCTAAGCTCTCATTTCTTTTTAAATAAAAAGTTTCTAGCCCTCATGGTTGTGTAGAAAAGATGACCTAACTGCATCCTATAAGCTCAGAAATCAAAAGCCAAAGAACCCCTTCCAATTTATAATTAAAAACACCATGATTTTAAGCCAATCTCATGATTTTTGGTGGATTTACAATATGTGACTCATGGTTCTTGAATGATTGGAGATGGCAATACTGCTTATGTATGTGCGTGTGTTGTGCACGCTTCTATGTGTGTTACATACTGTGTATGTGTTGTGGTAGGTACTCGGTGTGTTGGGAAGTGCTATGTTACACATTGTGTTGTGCACTCCTCTCTCTGGCTGTCATGTTATGTGTGTTCTGTGGTGGGTAGTGCTGTGTGAAACATTGCATGTTATGCACTCCTCTCTGGCTGGTCTTCAGTGTATATGTATGTGGTGTGTTACACACTGTGTTGTGCTCTCCTCAGTGAGTGTTATGCTGTATGTGTGTTGCTGAGTATTACATACAGTGCTGTGCTCTCCTCACTGGTAGTGGTGCTGTGTGTGTTGCTATGTGTTACACACCGTGCTGTGCACTCCTTCCTGGCTGTTACACGGTGTGTACGTTTGTGTGTGTGTTACACATCGAGTCATGCTCTCCTCCCTGGCTGTTATGCAGTGTGTATACTGTGTGGTGCTGTGTGTTACACATCAAGTTGTGCTCTCCTCCCTGGCTGTTACATGGTGTGTATGCTGCGTGTGTTATGCGCTGTTGCTGCTGTGTGTTACACACCGAGTTGTGCTCTTCTCCCTGGCTGTCGCTCCGCGTGCTGTGCTCGCTCTCTCAGGCCTGGCTCGGACTCTTCCAGGCCGGGCCAGCAGCCTCCCGAGCAACTGCTAGCCAGGGCGGGGGGTCCTGCGTCTCCCGGGGCTGGGGGTAGTTCTGCAGCCACCGCCCCAACTTGCTCTAGTAACGGGCGGAGGGGGCGGGCTCGGCGGCTCCCCCCACTGGCCCGGCCACTCCCGCTCCGCGCGTGAGTCAGGCATTTCCCGGGAACTCGCAGCAGCCGCGGCCGGGCGGGCTCGGACCCTGCGCCGCGGGCTCCATGGAGAAGGCGGTGGCGCAGGGCGGCGGCAGCAGCAGCGGGGATGGAGGCGGCGGAAGCAACAGCAGCAGCCGGAGCAGCAGCCGCCCCACGTCGGCGGGCTCGTCTCCCTCCTCCCTGGGCCGCGGGCTGCCGGGCCGGCCTGGGGCGGGCAGGCTGGAAGGCGGCGGCGGCGGAGGGAGCAGCAGCAGCCCGGGCTCGGCAGCCGCGAGCCCGGGAGGGAGCGGAGGGAGGCCGGCGCTCGGCAGCGGCCGCAGGAGGGAGCCGACGCTGGAGGGAGCGCTCAGCAAATACACCAACCTCCTCCAGGGCTGGCAGAGCAGGTAACCCCCGGCCCCGAGGTGGGAGCTGCCCTCCGCGTGGGCGCGCACAGCCGCGGGGCGCCCTCTCAGCCTGGGTACCCCGGCACTCTCTGAGGCGGGAGCCCCTTACCTGAGTCCTCCGCTGACCAGCCCCGTGAGACACCCTGTTCCCCGGCTCGCCCAGACCTCGGACGCGCCGGTCCCCCTGAGATGCCGCTCTGCGGAGCTGGCTGAGGGACCCTGGCCCGTTAGGCCGGTGGCGTGGTGTGTGTGTGTAGCCCAGCCTGGCAGCATTCCGCTCAGCCACGGGCCTGATCCCTCTTTCATTCTTCTACGTGGGCGATGGGATCTCGTTAGTATTTCCATTGTCGTTAGGGGAAGCCGAGTGGATCATGTGCCTGGGCTGGTATATCTTCATGGTGGCAGTTTTGCAAGTGAGGTCTGATAAGTAGCCTGGTGTTTGAACATATAATGTAAATATGTGTATGGTGTGTGTGTTTAGGGAGTTAGAGGGACGGAAGAAATAACTTTCTGTGAATAGGTTTCAGAGTAGCAGCTAATGTGATATATGCCATCATGTGCCAGCAATGCCCCTCTGCCATGTTCATTGGCCAAACCGGACAGTCTCTACGTAAAACAATAAATGGACAAAAATCAGACGTCGGGAATTATAACATTCAAAAACCAGTCGGAGAACACTTCGATCTCTCTAGTTACTTGATTACAGACCTAAACGTTGCAATTCTTCAACAAAAAATCTTCAAAAACAGACTCCAATGAGAGACTGCTGAATTGGAATTAATTTGCAAGCTGGACACCATTACATTAGGCTTGAATAAAGACTGGGAGTGGAGGTGTCATTACACAAAGTAATACTATTTCCCCATGTTTATTTTTTCCCCTCGACTGTTCCTCACATGTTCTTGTCAACTGCTGGAAATGGCCCACCTTGATTATCACTACACAAGGTTTTTTTTCTCTCCTGCTAGTAATAGTTCACCTTACCTGATCACTCTCCTTACAGTGTGTTTGGTAACACCCGTTGTTTCATGTTCTCTGTGTATATAAAATCTCCCTACTGTATTTTCCACTACATGCATCTGATGAAGTGAGCTGTAGCTCACGAAAGCTTATGCTCACATAAATTAGTTAGTCTGTAAGGTGCCACAAGTCCTCCTTTTCTTTCTGTGAATAGTGTGCTTGACATGTTTCTAGTTCATCCTCCCTCCCCCCAACCTTGTTCTGTAGAAAATAGATCTAAACTATATACTGTAATGTATTACTTTTGACTTCCTTATTCTGCAAAATTAAAAAAAAAAAAACTATGGAATAAAATGTCCTGCTTCAGTTAAGAAACTAGCACTAAGAAGTATATAGACATGCATCTGAAGAAGTGGGTATTCACCCACGAAAGCTTATGCTCCAATATGTCTATTAGTCTGTAAGGTGCCACAGGACTCTTTGCCACTTTCACAGATCCAGAATACGGTTACCCCTCTGATAATAGAAAAATAGTATTTTCCGTGGTGATCATTTTACTGGAGGGGGGAATGAGACAATTCATAAGAAGAAAAAAAGTTTTAATTTCATTACATCCTGATTTGACAAGTCTAATTTATTTTCGTCATGGACACAGAGACCAAGGTCCTAATCCTGCAGTTCTTTGGGTATGAACAGACTGCTACGCAGGCAAGGAACTTCACTGAATGCGATGGGAATCTGCTCAGACCCAACACAGTACAGGATCAGGGCCTAAATTGTTGTTACAACTGGGATTGTGGTGTTAATAGTGCTGTACTGGGGTCTACTGTAATGGAATTGGGCAGAGAGGATTTATTATTATTCTTTCACTTCTGGTTAGCAAACTTCATCCCCTTTCCCTTTTATTTTAAATAACTAGATTTTTGTGCTTATGAAAGGTACTAGATTGGCAGTTGTGGAGAGTGAGGACCTCTACCTATAGAACAGGGTAAACTTCTACACGGGGCCTTTTCTGTATCAGGCAAAAAATTTCTACAGTTGCTGACATCAGCGTGCCTAGCCAGTGGTAACAGCTGTGGAAGAAATATTGCTGTTAATGTTCAGCAGACCGTGGTGTTTTACCACTGTGTCATTTAGATATGCTGTAAACAATGTTAAATGACACAGTAATAAAAATGCTAGTGTCCATGGGAGCATTATCACCGCTGGAGCTTCCAAAGTTGCTGTCACTTATGGATTTGAATCAGAAGTGGAAGTGGTGGAAAACTGCCGTCCTGCCCCCGCCAAACTGCTACTGTAGACCCAGTTATAGCATTCCTCATCCCCAGGCTGGAAGGTGTGCATTGGTTCCTTTTTTACTATTGATTTGTTTAGGAAGTATTAACAGGTTTACAAATCCTTGCCATGTAAATATCAGAAACACAACAATAATCATTACAACAGCGAGCTTCTGTTTAGAGAGACAAATGAAAATATAGTAACCAGGTCTCTCTTTTTTACAGGATATTAGCACACTACAGAGTGAGCATCATGTTGTTTCTTGTGATTTTATTAAATTGTGTGAAATTTTTGATTACACATATTTAACAGACAGGCATGTCTATCAAATGTTAATATTAAAAAAAAAAAAATTGGACAAGTGCCCTGAGTTTTTTGCCTGTGAGTATTGAATAAAAGGTAACCAAAATGTCTAAGTATCTATTTGTCCTCTATTTTGCCAGGTACATAATTGGTGTGTTAATTTTTCCATAATAGCAACCTCCCAGATTATTATTATTATTTATTATTATTATTATTATTTTTTTAACCAGTTCCCTATAGTTAGACTATTTTTCTTTTTCCTGTGAGATGCTATCAATAGCCGAACAGCTGCAGACAATTGAGCAATTAATTCCTTGTTTCCCTTTGTGTTATCATTTCCAGTAGGAAGCCCCCAGGAGGATTACCAGTGGATCATTTGGTAATATAATCCAACAATTTGTGATATTTGGTTATGGATTGCATCCCAATACTCTATGATTAGCCATGTCCCCCATATATGCATAACATCTCCTCTTTCACCACAGTTTCTTCAACATTTATCACCATTCAATCTCTCTCTATTTTTTTAAATCTGACTAGTGTGAGACTGAAACAATATCTTACATAAATGTTCTTTTATTGTGCTGCAGACTGAGATTGCTGGCCTTCTTTTCTGGATCAAACCTCATTTCTCTTGGGTAATTTGTATATCCAGATCCTTTTCCAGGCATGTCACATATGGAGATTCTTTTGTTAGGAAAGTTGTCTGAAAAGGTTGATCTAAATTAGTTATATTTTTTTTGTTTCCTAAATAACCAGATACCATCATTTCTATTAAAGTTAGCATTCTGTATAAAACATTTTTTCTAGAAACTTGAGAAACATAATGGCTAACTTGACAGTACTAGTACCACAGGAGAGTGGGGCAGTTAAAGTTAGATTTTTGTCTCTAAATGAGTTAGAAACATTTAAAGGTTTCTGGTTTGTGGTTTGGGTTAAGATCTGGATTGTTTGCAGTGGGTGTCATTGGCAAAGGAAAAGAGCTTATCTTATCTCTAGTTCTATCCCAAGCCCACAGAGCAGCCTTTGGTAAAGGATATGTATAAATTTCTGGAGGGTATGACTTTGAAAATTAATCCCATGGTTACTTAGTGATATTTACATTGCCACAATGTTCTTGTTCAATAAAGACCCAGTGTTTGCCTGTGTTAGTGTTTCCCCAATCCACTACTGCTTTCTGGCTTGGTTCCCTTGTCATAACTGCCAACAAATATGCTAGATGTAGTGTGTTTGTGTTGGGGACACCAATCCTGGAACAACTGGATTGGTTTAATCAACTCATTTGGTAGGTCACTGACCAGCCATCGGGTGGTAATAGCTCGGTTGCTACTGTCATACGTTAGATTTGGTCAGGACTCTTGGAGGTGAAAGGTCTGTCGTCTTACCTATCTCTTGAATTACGCAGTCCCCTACTTGGTGACAATCTTCCTCTTTAAAAAAAAAAATCTTTTTGATAGCATAACTCTGAAAATTAAAGGCTACTTTTGTATCTGACCCATTTTTGCAAAAGTAATGAGTAATTTCTTAGATCTCATTTGGGCAATGGGACGTATGTGGGTGGATCCTTGTCCAATTAAATGGAACTCTTCTTTGATCTAAGGGTCTGATGTCACAGATCTGATTGCAGAATAGAGACCTCTGATGGTAAATTTTTTGGGACATGGATTGCATCTTCATTGTGTTTGGACAGTGCCTAGCACAATCAGTTCCTGACTGGGTCTCTGGGCATTGTGGCAATTTAACAGTTAGATGGTAATTATAGGAGTCAATTTCCAAATGTACAAGACCTCCATTAACAAGAAACACAAAGACATAATTTTAATTTATAATGCTTACCTTCTCTGAAAACATCAGGAGAAACTATACAATTTAAAATATGCTTGTTTAAATAATTCTGTTTTAATAGATTAAATGACATTGCAAGTTGTAGCAGTCATGTTTCTTTTTTCATGCTGTGTTAGTACACTTTTTCAGTCGCTATACTGTGTTTATATTTTTGCTCAAGAAGTTTATATCATCAGTAGAGCTGTTCTGCTGAATTATAGTTGGGTTATTCGATCAGGGATCACAAACTATACTGAATCTAAAAGGATTTGTTCGGGGTGGAGGATTTTCTAGAAATCAAAGTTTAAAATAAATACAATACCAACAAAAAGCAAAACTTATGAAGTAGCTCTTTTTATAACACCCCAAACTCAGTTTATAGTTCAGTATCAGGTAATTGTTTACATGTTTATTTGCCCTTTGAATATTTGTCATTTGGTCAGTACCATTTGTGGACTGGGGCCCTGGAGACAGAGTTTACCAAAACTTTTATTCACTTTAAAAAGTCTAATAAATGTAAAGGTACTTACTCCAAATCCTCTGATCAGATATCAGTAGCCTTTATGACACTTGGCCTTATCCACTAACCTATATAATTCTAACACATTTAATGTTAAGGTCTACCGTATTATGCTCAAATTGAAAAGCCTCTAGAATGCCCAACACCTGCTTTTTGAATGCCAGGATTATCTTTTAAAATCTAAATGAAACAGGAATTCCTTTAGGAATGCAGTTACTGTGAATCACATTTTCACTGATATTTTCTTTACAGATATACCACAGGCATTGCTATTTTAAAAAGGTACCCAACACAATTTAGTGTTTGCTCTCTTTCATTTGGTGTACTACATATAGATTCATTTAAAAAAAAAAAATCTTAACTTGCATTAGCTGAAACAATGGCAGGTCTCAAGATGAATTGGTCCTCTTCGTGAAGTTACTTCATTTGGCATCCTGTTAAGTGAATCCTGTGAGAGTGTACTGACTTTTATTTAAAAAATGATTCTCTTCACTGCAGTCTAGTAGCCTCAGAAACAGCCTAATCTGAAAATGAGGAAGACTGTTGTTTAGTTTAAAACATGCAGAAGGAAAAGTCACTCTCAAACTATTTCTTTTTAAATATTGGAGCAAGTACTTAAACAATAAACAAGATAGGGATGGCTAAACACTTGTTTTGTAATATCAGTAAAAATCCGAAACTACTCAACTGGATTCATTAAATCCCTCTGGGTCTATACTGGCAAGAATCCAGAGAGCAGAAGAGCCAGATTTGGCCTGAAGCATGGGCAC